AGTCCTCACCCTCAGTAGCTTTTCCTTCAATTCTTCCCACTTTCTCCAAATCCAGGGGGTTGCCATGGACACTTGCATGGCCCCCAGCTACGCCTGCCTGTTTGTCAGTTATGTTGAACAGTTCCTCTTCAGTATGTACACTGGTACTGTTCCCCAACTCTTCCACCATTACATCAATGACTGCATTGGTGTTGCACCCTGTTCCCAGGCTGAACTGGAGCAGTTCATCGACTTCGCTAACAACTTCCAACCTGCCCTCAAATTCACTTGGTCTATCCCAGACACCTCCCTCCCCTTTCTGACCTCTTCGTTTCCATTTCTGGCGACAACTTACATACCAACATTTATTATAAACCCACAGATTCCCATAGCTACCTAGACTACACCTCCTCCCACCCTGTATCCTGCAAAAACTCCATCCCACTTTCCCAATTTCTCCATTTCCATCGCATCTGCTCTGACGAGGAGACATTCCACTCCCAAGCATCCGAGATGTCCGCCTTTCTCAAATAACGCTTTTCCCCCCACTCTGTCATCCAGAAAGCCCTCCACCGCACCTCCTCCATTCCCCGCTCCACAGCTCTTAACCAACCCCACTCCCCCCAGATATAATAATGATAGGGTCCCCCTTGTCCTCACTTTCCACCCCACCAGCCTCTGCATCCAATGTATCATCCTCAAACACTTCCCCCAACTCCACAGGTGAGTGCTGATAATCCCCTCCCACTTGATGTTTAGTAGCCAGACCCCTGGACTGACCATGGCTCACTCCTTTGAGGAAATTAGTTGAGCGTAATAGAATATAAAATCGAACAGAATTCCATTTTATTGTCACCGTGTATTCCATTGTAGGAGTACATTGAAAAGCTTTTACAATGTCTGCGTTTTTATGGTGACTCATTAGGTACAAGTACCTAGGTATATTTCTTGGATGCAGCACAGGAATAAAAGTAGTTACATTACATTACAGAGTTGAAAAATAAGTTTTAAACTAGGACATCATTAAAGGAAGGTAAGAAATTTCAAATAGACATTACAGTGTAGCAGCTCAGCGCAGCTGATTGCTGGCACCAGACCCCAGTCCAACAGCTGACCCCAGTCTGGTCTATACCGGCATTCAGCTGCTCCAAGTTAAATTCCAGGACTGCCTCACCTGCTGTGGGGCTGCTTCCCCACGCGCTGTACTGTATCCGAGTAATGAGTGACTAGGCCCTTGGTCAATATCTCTACAGCTGCCCACTTGTGTTCCTACCACTCCCTGGACTGGATTACTGGACTCCCAGGTTGGACTATGACCACCTCTCTGGATTGGACAGGTACAGACCCCCTGACCATTGACCCCTCTCTCGGCTGTACAAGTGCAGGCCCTCTGACTCTGACCACCCCTATTGGATGCCTGACTGTCTCCAAGCCTCTGTGCTGATATGAGAGACCATTCTGCAATTACTGTGCCAGGACCCCTGACTGACAGCTACCTCTCTGAACATCAGTGAGGACACTTTGAGCTGTAGCTGTTTGCCTGAAGCACATGCACAGTGTTTGCAGTGTGAATGACTGGCATGTAATGCAGTTATGAGGTTGAAGTGGCAATGTGCTGCACAAGCAGCATGTCCATCCCTGGACTGGCTGCAAGCAACCATTGCAAGCTGCCTGGCTTTGTGTCAGCAATAAACTGCAAAGCAATACAGTAGTAAAATGAGCCTTAAAGCTCTGGTTGAAAAGGCAAACCACAGAAAGATAAGGCAACACTAAGCAGGGATCTTTCAAGCATCCAGGCAGATGCTAATGGAGTAAGTGCTAAGACAGCAATTGAGTAGCCCTGAGATGCAACTAGGTCCAATCCAAGTTCTGCATGCCTGTCCCTGCACACAAAGTATCTTTGCAGCAGCATTACACTAATAGTCACTGGTGTGTTGGAAAGTGCAGCAGAGCTGTGCAAGTGTGTTGAAGATATACTATGTTGGAACAGAGAGGCTGGCATATGTTTGATGCCGTTAAGATGTTGTGGGGCTGTTGAGAGTGAAGGAAGAGTGGATCAGGCTATCCTGGAGGGAACGTTGCCTGCGGAAGGTGGAAAAGGGAGCAGCACTTGACCTGCACTTCTCATGATCTAGTCTACTGCATTTGCTGCTCACAGTGTGGTCTCCTCTACATTGGGGAAATGAAGCATAGACTGGGTGATCATTTTGTAGAACATCTATGTTCTGCTCGCAAAAACGGCTCCAAGCATCCAGTTGCCTGCCGCTTTACCACAACACACTTGTTATCTCTCAGTCTGCCATTATACACCACCTGTTGTTAGCTATTAACAGTATCCATTAACAGCTATTCACCCTCCTCGCCAGATCGTTATCCACTCTTTGTCTGTCCAACTGTTCTTCTCTCTCTTTGCGCTGTATCCCCACCTATCGCTTACTCCTGACTACCACCACCACCACCAC